GTGAGGGTGAGCACAGTGGGTTCTCTCGGTGCGCCTGTTTGCATTGGTAAGGGTGAGCACAGTGGATTTTCTCAGTGCGCCTGTTTGCATCTGGGCGGACAGGCCCCAGGTACTTCCTGTCCCGGGAGGAGCCGTGCTGCCGCCGAGCCCCGCGCCCTGGCCTGCTGCAGTGCTCTGTCTGGTGCGTGGGGGAGCACAGCACTCCCACACACGCACCCCCACGCTGCACACGGAGGTCTCTGCTGCCCGGTGTCCGCAGGTGTTCATGGAACCCGAGCCCCGCGCCCTGTTCGGGCACTGCCCACTGGCGCAGCGCGTTCTTTTGTGGCTGTGGCTCTGAGCTCGCGCCGCCCGCACCATCGTGAAGGGCAGACCGAGCCTGCCAGGCGTTCTTATACAGCTGGAAAGCCCAGTGCTGCATTCCCAGAGGCGGCAGGGGTGGCCACCTCCATCCCCACAAACACATGCCGTTCAGGTGAGCAGCCTTGGATTCCTGCAGACTTCTCGCAGGTGGGAAAGTGGGCCAGGTAATTTCTCACCACACAGGTCCCTGATGAAACAGCTCTGCTAACATCACGTGGACTAAGTCGACGTCTGTGCGACCATCTGAGATAGCCCCTTCCAGAGCACGGTGCCGGGAACGCTGCGTGTCCTCGCGGAGGAGCGTGAGCCGGCCCTTCCTGGGCCACACACGGCAGCTACTGGGAGTGGATCAGTGCGGCACACAGCAGCCCAGGAGAAGGCGGTGGGGCGGCAGGTGGCACTGCGCCTGGCAGTGGCTTCGCGGGTGAGACATCACAGCACAGGGAGCAGACGGAAAGGAGACAGGTCAGAGTTCGTCAAGATTACCGGTATCTACGCGTCAGACACTCTCCGCAGAGAAAAGTTGACCCATGAAAACATTTGGTGACTGTTAGCTGATAAGGGATTGGTAAATGGAATATATGAAAAACTCCTACAGCTCAACAACATTTTATTTTAATTTTTATCCTCACCCAAAGACATTTTTGCATTTATCTTCAGATAGAGTGGGAGGGAGGGAGGGAAGAGAGAGAGAGAAACATGGATGTGAGAGAGACACATTGAGTGGCTGTCACCCACACGACCCCAACCAGGGCCAGGGACAAACTGCAACCGAGGTACGTGCCCTTAGCGGAAACCTAACCCAAGTCTCTTCAGTCTGCGGGCTGACACTCTAACCGCTGAGCCAAACTGGCCAAGGCAACAACAAAATTTTAAAAATGGGCAAAGGAGTCACATAGACATTTCTCTTCTCCAAAGAAGATGCGTACGGCTGATGAGCAAATGGCAGCATCAGGAGTTGGGGACGCAGATCGAAGACCAGGTGAGGTACCACGCCACAGCCATTAGGATGGCAAAGAATGACAAACCAACAGCACACAGCGAGTGGGGAGAGTATGGGGGCTCGGCACACAGTGCCCTCTGGCTGGGAACGTAAAGGGTGCAGCGGTGTGGAGAGCAGCGTGGCTCCTCAGAGAGCCACGTGCACGCTCGCTTCTGGCTGTGCACCCGAAGGCCTGGAAGCAGGGTTCAGACAGCCATCCACACGTACGCATGGCAGCACCGCTCCTAGCAGCCAAGGGGGCGCTCCGCTGTGCATCAGCCGATGGATGCCAGACGCAGCCTGTCCTGCAGTGGACTGTCACTCAGCCGTGCCAAGAAGGAAGCCCGGACACGTGGCCCCGCCTGGGCGAGCCTGCAGCCAGGCTGAGTGGAGTGAGCCATCTCTAAGTGCGCACGTGCTGGGTGATTCCACTCGTGTGCACAGCCTACAGCAAGGGCTCATGGTGTCCACTGAAAGGCCAGGTCTCGGCTCAGTGTGCGTGGGCGGCCAAGCTGAAGATTCGCCCTCGGATTCCCAGAAGCCATCTTTTCAACAAGCACTGGGCCCCACGCCCCTGACATCTCATGCTCAGCACCTAGTTCAGAGAAAGCACTGGGTGTGTGCAGTTCAGCTCCGGGGTCTGTTCCTCGGCCCCTGGTCCAGAGAAAGCACTGGGTGTGTGTGGTTCAGCTCCGGGGTCTGTTCCTTGTCCCCTAGTCCAGAGAAAGCACTGGGTGTGTGCGGTTCAGCTCCGGGGTCTGTTCCTCGGCCCCTGGTTCAGAGAAAGCACTGGGTGTGTGCGGTTCAGCTCCGGGGTCTGTTCCTCGGCCCCTGGTTCAGAGAAAGCACTGGGTGTGTGCGGTTCAGCTCCGGGGTCTGTTCCTCGGCCCCTGGTTCAGAGAAAGCACTGGGTGCGTGCGGTTCAGCTCCAGGGACTGTTCCTCGGCCCCTGGTTCAGAGAAAGCACTGGGTGCGTGCGGTTCAGCTCCAGGGACTGTTCCTCGGCCCCTGGTCCAGAGAAAGCACTGGGTGTGTGCGGTTCAGCTCCGGGGTCTGTTCCTCGGCCCCTGGTTCAGAGAAAGCACTGGGTGTGTGCGGTTCAGCTCCAGGGACTGTTCCTCGGCCCCTGGTTCAGAGAAAGCACTGGGTGTGTGCGGTTCAGCTCCGGGGTCTGTTCCTCGGCCCCTGGTTCAGAGAAAGCACTGGGTGTGTGCGGTTCAGCTCCGGGGTCTGTTTCATGGCCTTAGTTTCATGACCACTCCTTTGTTAAATGTTTACAAAATCCCCATTCCTGGAGAAGGTGCTCGTGTGAGTGAGATATGATACATGGGCTCAAGCTTCAGGGACTTGCAAAATACCGAGTTTCAGTTGAATAAAAAGTGCCACATTGACAGTGGCCATTGAGGATTGCATCTGTTATTTTGACCAGTCGGAATGAAACATGATACAGAACACAGAAAAGAATTGCTTTCCTCACAGTGTGCTGATCATGAACGCTTTACCCATGTGTTCTTCAGTCTCGTGACAGTTCTGATCAGCCCCAGGAGTGAGTACCGCTCTCTGGGTTGTGTTATTTATATCTCTCTTCTAATCAGCTGTCCTCAGAATCACCATAAATATCTCGCGTTTCCCGTAGGTGTTCGGATCTATCCTGATGACACTGAGCAGTGGAATCGTTCACAGTTAGATTCTAATCAGTCAGTGTTCATTATTTTCAGACACGTTTCCCGCCATGTCCAGCAGGACGGTCACGCGCTCACCACTTCTAGCCACTCGGGCGGAGCGCACTCAGAGCAGCACGAACACAGCACTCGTGCTCACGCCATGACCAGTGCCCGGCGGGGATGTGTCTCCACCACCCATGTTTTCCAGTCACGGTTTTTGATAGGGTTGCTCAGGTGGGGTTCCTCCAGCGCCTCGTTTGTGAAACGCGGGAACATCAGGAACTACCGAGGGAGTAGGCTTTCTGGAACCTGTGATCTTTGTTTTTCATTTTTCCACTTCTGGTTGCGATGCTCCTGAGAGCGTGCTGCGCTCCTGTTGAAGGCGGAAGGGAAGCGCCGCACGGGCAGGGCAGCCAGCGGGGCCGGCCTCCGTGTGGGGTCGCCCTCCGCTTTTTAACTGCCCTTGTGACCAGTGCAGACAAAGGAGTGGACTCGGCAGTGAGCTTGATTGTGCTTTCCCTCGAGCTTGGCAGGCAGACGCCCCAGCGGCCTGGGCAGCCCGGCAGCCGTGCTCGGTCAGGGTTAGGGGTGCCACTGCTGCACTGTTTTCACGTGGAGCTGGCCAGTCAGAGTGCCACCTGCTTCTGCCCAGCTCTCTGTCCGGGGTCCCAGCCTCGGCAGCGAGCGCTTGTCGCTTGCCCTGAAGATAGCTGCCAGCACAGAGCCTGTTCTCATGGCTGATTCTCTGTCTCTACTTTTGTTAAATGAAAATGAGTGTACATATCATTTACTATAAATGATTCTTTAAAAGCACATGAGTTGAATTTCTCAGAGTTTGATAAGTTTTTCTTTTTTTAAATTCTTACCCGAGGATACTTTTACATTAATCTTCAGATAGAGCTGGAGGGAGAGAGGGAGGAAGAGCGAGCGAGCGAGAGAAGCATTGATGTGAGAGAGACACATCAATTGGTTGACACCCACATGACCCCAACTGGGGCTGGGAATGAAATGCAACCAAGGTATGTGCCCTTGACTGGAATCAAACCTGGGACTCTTTGGTGCTGAGCCAAACCGGGCTGATAGGTGATGTCTGGATTGAAAGAACATGCACAGCCCAAGAGGCCTGTCTTGTCCTCTGGTGACGGGCTCAGACACCAGCCGCTGCCCCACCATGCGCCCGTGAGTCCTGACGCGTGGCCGTGGGCTCAGTCAGCACCTCTGCCCCGCCATGCGCCCGTGAGTCCTGACGCGTGGCCGTGGGCTCAGTCAGCACCTCTGTCCCGCCATGCGCCCGTGAGTCCTGACGCGTGGCCGTGGGCTCAGTCAGCACCTCTGCCCCGCCATGCGCCCGTGAGTCCTGACGCGTGGCCGTGGGCTCAGTCAGCACCTCTGCCCCGCCATGCGCCCGTGAGTCCTGACGCGTGGCCGTGGGCTCAGTCAGCACCTCTGCCCCGCCATGCGCCCGTGAGTCCTGACGCGTGGCCGTGGGCTCAGTCAGCACCTCTGCCCCGCCATGCGCCCGTGAGTCCTGACGCGTGGCCGTGGCTGTCAGTACAGCTGCCCCACTGCCAGGAGCAGCCAGGGTCCCGGTCACTTCACAGTGGTGCGAGATTCTTCAGTGCTTTGCAAGTTAATTTTATAAAGTAATTTAGAGATTAGATTCTGTATTTTTTATTTATTTTTGTTAATTGACTTTAGCGATAGAAACATTGATGAGAGAAAACTTCTACTGGCTGCCTCCTGCATGCCCCCACTGGGGATGGGTCCACAACCTGGGCATGTGCCCTGACCAGGAATTGAACGGCGACTTCTTGGTGCAGGGTCTATGCTCAACCACTGAGCCACACTGGCCGGGCTGGATTCTGTTTTAAGATAGTTTTCCAGTTACTAATTTTGACATATAAACTTAAGATCCCGGTTTATTTGTATAAAAGTGTCAAAGCTAAGGGCACCCAGTCACTGCCTGTGTTTCCTCTCTCCGCACTCTGCAGGGGGGACGCAGCGCCTGCCCCGCACCATCGGCACATCGCTGGCCAAGGAGCTCATCTTCTCCGCGCGGGTGCTGGACGGCCAGGAAGCCAAGGCCGTGGGCCTCATCAGCCACGTCCTGGAGCAGAACGCAGAGGGCGATGCAGCCTACAGAAAGGCCCTGGACCTGGCGCGGGAGTTCTTGCCTCAGGTACTGCCCGACCGCTGCCTTCTCCTGTCTCAGGTGACTCTCAGAGCTACTGGACACAATAGCAATCATTTCACAGACCCACGAAGCCTGGGCCACTCACACGGGGCGGCCAGACCGGCACGGTGCAGGGTGGACCTCGGTTCTCGGAGGTGATCGTTCCGGAGGCCGTTCCGAATCTGACACGTTCTTTCCCACTAGGAACAGTGCGAACTGAATCAGTGTGTTCCAGACCCCAATTGAGTCCCTGTTTCAGCCTTTCTCATGTACAGTGCGTGTCCAATTACCGTTCAATCCGTAAGCAAGCGCTTACCACACAGAAAGGTCACGAGCGCAAGGGCCGACGTAATAGAGGAAATGCAGTGAAGTGAGAACAGAGCGTGCGGGGAGGTGGGCGGTGACCACGCTGTCTCCTCCGTCGTGTGGGGAGGTGGGCGGTGACCACGCTGTCTCCTCTGTCGTGCGGGGAGGTGGGCGGGGACCACGCTGTCTCCTCTGTCGTGTGGGGAGGTGGGCGGGGACCACGTTGTCTCCTCTGTCCTGTGGGGAGGTGGGCGGGGACCACGCTGTCTCCTCTGTCGTGTGGGGAGGTGGGCGGGGACCACGCTGTCTCCTCTGTCGTGTGGGGAGGTGGGCGGGGACCACGCTGTCTCCTCTGTCGTGTGGGGAGGTGGGCGGGGACCACGTTGTCTCCTCTGTCCTGTGGGGAGGTGGGCGGTGACCACGCTGTCTCCTCTGTCGTGTGGGGAGGTGGGCGGTGACCACGTTGTCTTCTCTGTCCTGTGGGGAGGTGGGCGGGGACCACGCTGTCTCCTCTGTCCTGTGGGGAGGTGGGCGGGGACCACGCTGTCTCCTCTGTCCTGTGGGGAGGTGGGCGGTGACCACGTTGTCTCCTCTGTCCTGTGGGGAGGTGGGCGGGGACCACGCTGTCTCCTCTGTCGTGTGGGGAGGTGGGCGGTGACCACGCTGTCTCCTCTGTCCTGTGGGGAGGTGGGCGGTGACCACGCTGTCTCCTCCGTCGTGCGGGGAGGTGGGCGGGGACCACGTTGTCTCCTCTGTCCTGTGGGGAGGTGGGCGGTGACCACGCTGTTTCCTCCGTCGTGCGGGGAGGTGGGCGGGGACCACGTTGTCTCCTCTGTCCTGTGGGGAGGTGGGCGGTGACCACGTTGTCTCCTCTGTCCTGTGGGGAGGTGGGCGGTGACCACGCTGTCTCCTCTGTCCTGTGGGGAGGTGGGCGGGGACCACGCTGTCTCCTCCGTCGTGCGGGGAGGTGGGCGGGGACCACGCTGTCTCCTCCATTGTGCGGGGAGGTGGGCGGCCATGGAGGCAGGACAGGGAGTGCCCAGCAGTGTTCGCAGTGGGGCTGAGCAGTGACCCACACTCACTCCTTTGTCACCCGGACCCCTGACTGACCCCATGGTGTCCGCAGGGTCATCGGGCGGAGAGGCTGATGGTTTGGCATGTGGACACTCAGAACCAAGGCCCGACTGTGGATTGACATTGAAGGCCTGCAGAATGGAACTTGGACCCGAGGCCGTTAGGCCCCCACTGCGGCCACACTGCACGGGCCAGCAGGGCTCAGCACGTGGAGTCCACCCCCTGAACTCTGACCTCAGCCACACATGGAGGGCGGTGTGGAGGCTGTCTCCCGGGTCACCCCAAAGCCGAGATGCATGGCACACAATCAGGGGAGCATCGTCGGCTGTGCAGAGTAGGTTCGCTGTGCTGCCCGGCCCGAGGTCACTGGCTCTGGGCAGCAGGCGTTCGTCCTGCTGGGTGTGCTTCTCTGCTCTCCGGGGAGCCGCCTGAAGTCCGGGGTACGGGCTCACGGTGTACTTCCGACAGTCACACTGCCATCTGGACCTCGCTGTGTGTACCGCGGGCCTCCCCTGTGACACTAACGGGCACCCGGGGCCCGTCGGACGGGATTCCTTGTTCTCACGCTTTCCAGGGTGTATTTCAGATACTCCTTTCTTCGGAAATCACGGGCCAGAGGATGTTGGCTGCGTAAGCAGCCCGTGGTTTGTCTGTCCCGGTGGATTGTCAGGGTTGCGCCCACCCATCAGCCACTTCTGGAGTGAAAGGAGCTGCCTCTGGAACTCAGTCCTTCAGACGCAGACAGGACCCAGATCTGCTGGGGCTGTGCATCCTCGGGGGCTGTGGCGTCCCTTTCCCACGTCCCTCCACATCTGCCGGGAGCTCAGCCGGGCTTCGGAAGGTGTTGCTGTGGCCGTCATCAGGCCCGGGCCAGGCTGCCGTGACACCTGCCCCAGCTCCGAGGGCCGCCCAGTGCCTGGCACATGGCCTGCACTCGGTCCAGGTCCCGCGCTTCCTTCCTGAGGCCGCACGGAGCCTCACACTCTGACTCGGTGGGGACAGCAAAGAGAACAGAGGTTTAGTGCTGTTAGAAAGAAAAGACCCTCACTAACGTAGTATTTCTGTTTCCGAAACTGTCGGGGAGATGTCCACCTCAGAGGACTCAAGGGGCTGTGAGGGGCGACGTCATCGTCCAGTGCTGGCTAGCTGGCTGGCTGTGGCTTCAGCCGTGAAGACCAGCACACGCCTCAGCTGCGATACAGGGTGTGGGAGCACTGTTATGGCATGTTTCCAGTCCTGGCACCTCCTCTCCAGGCTTTGGACACGGGCATGCAGCTCCCTGCCCCAGGGCTCCACTCTGGGGGCTGGTTACCCCAAGGCCGTCCCTGCAGTTCCCAGTCCTTTCTCTCCCCAGAGCCTGGTCCTCCGTGGGACAGTCCCTGCACCTCCCGGCTCACCCCGGAGCCTGCTCCTCTGCCCCTCCGTGCGGCAGTCCCTGCACCTCCCGGCTCACCCCGGAGCCTGCTCCTCTGCCCCTCCGTGCGGCAGTCCCTGCACCTCCCGGCTCACCCCGGAGCCTGCTCCTCTGCCCCTCCGTGAGACAGTCCCTGCACCTCCCGGCTCACCCCGGAGCCTGCTCCTCTGCTCCTCCGTGCGGCAGTCCCTGCACCTTCCGGCTCACCCCGGAGTGCCCTCCCCACTCCCGTCCCTGTCTGCCCAGCCGGGCTGTGCCTCTGGAACATGGACAGCAGCAGTGACTCCTCCCAGCTCAGGGTGGGGTTGGGTGACATCAGGGAACGTACAGCTGAGAAACTATGTGCAGAAGTTACAGAACACGGTTGGAGTGGAAGCATCTTCTATTTTTGTCGTCTTTGTTACTGAATGACTGCTTTTTGCAGATAACAAGAAAGCTTCTATGAAAGCAGTCTCCCGGTGATTTCCGTATGTTACGTCACTACCATGTTCTGCCTGAGAAAACGGGTTGTGTGGAAGAGGCACTGGTCTTACACCCGGGAGAGCAGCTCACTAAAGAAGTGTAGTCTGAGAGCATTCTCACTTTGTTCTCCCGGCTGTCTCAGCCTTGCTGGCCAAAGTGTTTGTGGGCCAGCAGCCTGGCCTCCCGGGAGCTGCTGGACGAGCAGAGTCCTGGCCACCCCGGGCCCCCAGCCCATCTGCATCGTAAGCGTTTGGGGGTTTGTGGACATGGATCCTGACCAGCACCCAGATGGGCCAGCTGGTGATAAACAGGACTGGAGAAGAGTCTCAGCTGAGAGGTGCACCTGTTAAGAAAAAGTGAACTGATGTTTTATTTATTTATTTGTGTTCATCCTCACCCGAGGACATTTTTCCATTGGGTTTCAGAGAGAGGAGGGGGAAGGGAGGGGGAGAGAAACACGATATGAGAGAGGAACACAGAGCGGCTGCCTCCTCTGTGCACCCTGAGCAGGGACGGAACCTGCAACCTGGCTGCATGCCCTTGACCTGGAATCAAACCCGAGAGCCTCTGGTGTGCGGGCCAGTGCTCTAACCACTGAGCCCCACCGGCCGGGGCTGACCTGATGATCTTTTATAAAGTAATGGTAATACATGCACCACACATGCAAACCACAGGTGGAAGAATTGTGAGGTGCTGGTGTGACCCTAAGGAAGGTGTGGCCTCTGCAAACGTCTTTAGGCCTGTGACGGGAGACTGACCCGTCGGCTCTGACGGTCGGCCGCAGGAAGGAAGCCTCTTCCAGACCTTCCTGGCCACCGTGCGTCTGCCCGCACTCAGGGAGCCCTCGCTGTCCTGTTAGTCAGAGCCAGTCTCTTTCCATTCGAAAGACATTCGAAAATACGCACTGAATTTCAGCTCATCGCCTGTCAACGATTTCTGCGACTTGATCTGTGAATGAATCTCGACACCCCCTCCAGGACCGTGGGTTCTGAGACAGGAACGCTTCCCTTCCGCCAGGGGACTCCCACTCCTTCCTCTGGGACTGTCTGCAGTGAGGACACGCCTTCTGGGGGGCGCACGACCAGACGTCACCTCATGGTTAGGTACCGGTGCAGTGGCGGAGGACACTTCAGTGTCTGAGACCCTGCAGTGAGGACACGCCTTCTGGGGGGCGCACGACCAGACGTCACCTCGTGGTTAGGTACCGGTGCAGTGGCGGAGGACACATCAGTGTCTGAGACCCTGCAGTGAGGACACGCCTTCTGGGGGGCGCACGACCAGACGTCACCTCGTGGTTAGGTACCGGTGCAGTGGCGGAGGACACATCAGTGTCTGAGACACTGATGTTAACACTGCTCCTGTGAATTCTGTGGAGAACGACAGCATAACCAGCATAAATAATGATTGAAATATGTTTCTTTCCTTTGGATTTCAGGGACCTGTTGCAATGCGAGTGGCAAAATTAGCCATTAATCAAGGGATGGAGGTAAGTTCCTTAATGGTTGGGTTTGTTGTTGGAATAGGGGGTGGAAATTTCATTTAAATGAACCATGTGTAGACTTTGCATTATTTTATACTGTTCTAAAATACAGCTGTTTCAGTGCTACTGTTATTGAAAGCTACTGAGGTTATTTTTAACTTCATCATTGATTTCATTCTGCAAATAGATACTGTTAATTCAGTGTCATGATCACAGAACCCAGAGGTTTCACTGATGGCTGTGCAGCTTAATGACATGCTTGTTATTTCGCCATCAAGTTAGTAGATTTACATAGAGAACCTGAAGAGATGGGCCTTCTGCATATTGTCAGAGCCAGTGCTGTGTTATATAACAAATGGAAGGGACGTCTTGGCTCCCTACCTGTCACTCTTCTGTGTGCTCTCTGCCTGAAGACATATGAAACAAGGCAGACGGGTGTCCTGGAGCCACCCTGGTGGTGGCTCCAAAAGAGGGGAGCCCCAGGCCGGGCACAGGGAGGCAGGGTGGGGAGCCCCAGGCCGGGCAGAGGGAGGCAGGGTGAGGAGCCCCAGGCCGGGCAGAGGGAGGCAGGGTGGGGAGCCCCAGGCCGGGCACAGGGAGGCAGGGTGGGGAGCCCCAGGCCGGGCACAGGAGGCAGGGTGGGGAGCCCCAGGCCGGGCACAGGAGGCAGGGTGGGGAGCCCCAGGCCGGGCACAGGGAGGCAGGGTGGGGAGCCCCAGGCCGGGCAGAGGGAGGCAGGGTGAGGAGCCCCAGGCCGGGCACAGGGAGGCAGGGTGGGGAGCCCCAGGCCGGGCACAGGGAGGCAGGGTGGGGAGCCCCAGGCCGGGCACAGGGAGGCAGGGTGGGGAGCCCCAGGCCGGGCACAGGAGGCAGGGTGGGGAGCCCCAGGCCGGGCACAGGGAGGCAGGGTGGGGAGCCCCAGGCCGGGCACAGGAGGCAGGGTGGGGAGCCCCAGGCCGGGCACTGGAGGCAGGGTGGGGAGCCCCAGGCCGGGCACAGGGAGGCAGGGTGGGGAGCCCCAGGCCGGGCACAGGGAGGCAGGGTGGGGAGCCCCAGGCCGGGCACCGGGAGGCAGGGTGGGGAGCCCCAGGCCGGGCACAGGGAGGCAGGGTGGGGAGCCCCCAGGCCGGGCACAGGGAGGCAGGGTGGGGAGCCCCACCAGGCCGGGCACAGGGAGGCAGGGTGGGGAGCCCCAGGCCGGGCACAGGGAGGCAGGGTGGGGAGCCCCAGGCCGGGCACAGGGAGGCAGGGTGGGGAGCCCCAGGCCGGGCACAGGAGGCAGGGTGGGGAGCCCCAGGCCGGGCACAGGAGGCAGGGTGGGGAGCCCCAGGCCGGGCACAGGGAGGCAGGGTGGGGAGCCCCAGGCCGGGCACAGGGAGGCAGGGTGGGGAGCCCCAGGCCGGGCACAGGGAGGCAGGGTGGGGAGCCCCAGGCCGGGCACAGGGAGGCAGGGTGGGGAGCCCCAGGCCGGGCACAGGAGGCAGGGTGGGGAGCCCCAGGCCGGGCACAGGAGGCAGGGTGGGGAGCCCCAGGCCGGGCACAGGAGGCAGGGTGGGGAGCCCCCAGGCCGGGCACAGGAGGCAGGGTGGGGAGCCCCAGGCCGGGCACAGGAGGCAGGGTGGGGAGCCCCAGGCCGGGCACAGGGAGGCAGGGTGGGGAGCCCCAGGCCGGGCCCAGGGAGGCAGGGTGGGGAGCCCCAGGCCGGGCACAGGGAGGCAGGGTGGGGAGCCCCAGGCCGGGCACAGGGAGGCAGGGTGGGGAGCCCCAGGCCGGGCACAGGGAGGCAGGGTGGGGAGCCCCACCAGGCCGGGCACAGGGAGGCAGGGTGGGGAGCCCCAGGCCGGGCACAGGGAGGCAGGGTGGGGAGCCCCAGGCCGGGCACAGGGAGGCAGGGTGGGGAGCCCCAGGCCGGGCACAGGGAGGCAGGGTGGGGAGCCCCAGGCCGGGCACAGGGAGGCAGGGTGCGGAGCAGTGCAGACAGCCATGACACAGATCTTTAATTGAAGCAGCTAAATTTTGGCTAAAGTATGGGGATTTTTAAGAAAGATACTTACTCCTTGCAGACCCAGAGCCCACTGTTACCCTGGCTTCATAGCAGTAAAAAGAGATGAATTTATTAGTGACAAATGCAGTTTTTAACATTTACAAAGTACTTGGGTTTTTTTTTGTTTTTTTGTTTTATTTATTTATTTTTTATCCTCACCCGAGGACATTTTTCCATTTTTTGTTCAGGCAGAGTGGGAGGGAGAGAGAGGAACAGAGAGAGAGAGAGAAACATCGATGTGAAAGGAACACATCGAGTGGCTGCCACCCGCACAACGGACCAGGGCCGGGGACAAACTGCAACCGAGGTACATGCCCCTTAGCGGGAACGAACCCGGGTCTCTTTGGACCACAGGCCGACGCTCCAACCGCTGAACCAAACCGGCCAGGGCAGTACTTGGTTTTTTAAAAAAATTCTTACATAATTAACAATATTTAGTAGCAAGCACTTTATATGACCCTTTCTGTGTGCCGGGTCTCACACACACACACACACACACATGCACGCACGCACGTCTGTTGCACTTGGTTGCACCTCGCAGATAACCACACTCTCATCACCATCCAGCAGGCCCTCCACCGGGAAAGCAGTTGTGACTCAGGCTTGGACAATGCTCAGCAGTGTTTAGCAATAAAGTATTTTTTTATTTTATATATATATATATATTTTTTTTTTTTTTCTTTTTCTTTATTGATTTCAGAGAGAGAGGAAGAGAGAGGGAAAGAGAGATAGAAACATTGATGAGAGAGAACATTGACTGGCCGCCTCCTGCATGCCCCCCACTGGGGATTTGGCCCACAACCTGGGTACGTGCCCTGACTGGGAATCGAACTGGTGACCTCTTGGTGCAGGGTCGACACTCAACCACTGAGCCATACCGGCTGGGTGGCAATACAGTATTTTTTACTTAAGGAATGTGCATTGTTTAGACATCTTGCTATTGCACACTGAATATACTACAGTATAGTATAAACATAACTTCCTATGCACTGGGAAACCAAAACAATGGTGTGCTTTTATTGTGATATTTGCCTTATTGCTGTGGCTGGGAGCTGAGCCCGCACCGTCTCAGAGGTGCCTGGGTACTTTAGATGTATAAAGTCTTCACTTGGCTGAGTGCCTTTGGCCTCAGTTGCAGGTACTGCTGTCGGCCCCTTCTTCAGAGGGCCTCTGCACACCGGGGACACGTCCTGCCCAGGGTCACAGTCCCTTGTGGCAGAGTCAGAATCGGAGCCCAGACAGCCTGATTCCAGAATCTCTCCTGCGGCTCTTGATTGTGATTTGCCACATCGTATGGGAGGAGACTGTTCTTTTTGAATAGGCTTATTAAATGTGAATTTACATTGAGTATGCTATATTTTAGAAAGTAATTTCTGTTTAAACGAATTGTGTTTTTATCCCCAGGTTGATTTAATAACAGGCTTAGCCATAGAAGAAGCTTGTTATGCTCAGGTATGTAATACAGTCACAGTCGGTGTGGATACCCCTACAAAGTACATTTGCCTTCTGTGTAGGTTGGATGAAGTATAGTCACTGGGCAAGGTCACACTCACACCTGTTTCTGTGTCATACAAGTGTTCAAATGAGTTGTTTCCGCTATTTGACTGTTACCAGCTCTTTTGATTGATTATGTTCACAAACAAATGCCTCTTGTCTACATAATTGAGAAAGCTCTTAGAATAACTCAGTTAGAACCATGAGTGGTGCTCTAGCTGTCTCTCTGACTCCTACTATAGTTTGTGGGTGGGATCTGCACCCTCACGGCAGCACAGGGAGGTCGGAGTGGGGCAGCGGTGAGCAGGTGCCTGCTGGGGACACAGGTGCTGAGGACTCGTCGGCTTCTTCAGACATCTCGGTTTTCCCTCCTGCCCACAGGAAGTTCACTAGTTCAGTTACACAGTTCTCTGTATTGATTAGTAGTGCTTTCTATAGAGGAAGGAATATCTTTTCTCCCATTCCTCCCCCGTCCCTCCCCCCTTGCTCCATTCCCTTCCTCTCTCCCTCCCTGTCATCTTTCCTTCCTCCCCTTTTTCTGAAAGCTGCAACCTGGTTGTAGTGGGCCTAAGGCAGCAAAAGAACTTGGCTCTACCTTTCCTGAGAATTGGAAATGGCATCAGCTTCCGCTGTACCATGGTCACGAGTTAGAAGCATGGCTGGACTGTCGTTCTGCCTGGTCTGTGTCAGTCATTGATGAGCACATGCCACAAGTGAGGTAGATTACAGACCTCTTACGGTAGCCTGAGGTAGCCTCAGAGTCTGAAGAAAATATTAAAAGCATGTTTGGCCATAAATCACACCTCATCAAATGTCAAGGAACAGAAATCATACCAAGTATTCTGTTAGACCACAATGGAATTAAACTAGAAATTAGTAACGGAAAGACAAATGGAAAATCCTACCTATTAATGCTGGTTTTAGTCTTTAACAAAGGGTAAACAACACACTTCTAAACATGTGTCAAAGAAGAAGTCTCGGGAGGAATTAAAACATTGCTGAACTAAATCGAAATGAAAATGAAACATGAAAATTTGTAGGAATGCATTGAAAGCAATTGCTTAGAGAGAATTTATAGCATTAAATGCATATATTAGATAAGAAGAAAGATCTCAATAAGTTTCCCCTTTATTTTTAAGAGCACATTAAATGCAAGTTAAGCAAAGAAAAAATATAATAAACATACTACCCAAAGCAATCTATAGATCCAGTGCAATCCCTATTAAAATACCAACAACATATTTCACAGAGCTATAACAAAAATTTCAAAAGTTTATATGGAACCAAAAAGGACCTCGAATAGCCATAGCAATCTTGAAAAGGAAGAAAAAAGTACGAGAGATCACATTACCAATATCAGGTTATACTATAAAGCCATTGTAATCAAAACAGTCTGGTACTGGCACAAGAACAGGTATATAGATGAATGGAACAGAACAGAGAACCCAGAAATTGACCCAAGTCATTATGCTCAATTAATATTTGATAAAGGAGGCAAGAGCATACAGTGCTCTTTAATAAATGATGTTGGGAAAATTGGACAGATACATGCAAAAAAATGGAATTAGACTAGCAACTTACACCATACACAAGAATAAACTCAAAATGGATAAAAGACTGAAATATAAGTTGTGAAACCATAAAAATCCTAGAAGAAAATGTAGGCAACAAAATTGCAGACATCACATGAAGCAAAATTTTCACTGATACAACACCTAGGGCAAGAGAAACAAAGGAAAAAGAATTAATAAATTGGACTATATCAAACTTAAAAGCTGCATAGCAAAATACACTAGCATCATAATGAAAGGGAACCCACTGTATGGGAAGCATATTTACCAATTATACGTCAGATAAAGGGTTAATTTCCAAAATATATAAAGTACTCATACAACTCAACAAAAGGAAGACAAACAATCCAATTAAAAAATTGGGCAGAAGACCTAAATGTATACCTCTCCAAACAGGATGTACAAATGGCCAAGAGACATATGAAAAAATGCTCAACATCACTAATCATCAGAGAGATGAAAAGTAAAACAACTATGAAGTATCACCTCACACCTTCCAGAATGGCTGCCATCAGCAACTCATCAAGTGCTGGCGAGGGTGTGGAGATAAGGGGACTCTAGTACACTGCTGGTAAGAATGCAGACTGGTGCAGCTACTGTGGAAAACATGTTGTTTCCTCAAAGAATTAAAAACTGAACTGCCTTTTGACCCAGTGATCCCACTTCTAGGAATATACCCTAAGAAGCCTGAAACACCAATCAAAAAAAATATATGTACTCCTATGTTCATAGCAGCGCTATTTACAATAGCTAAGATCGAGAAACAGCCCAAGTGCCCATCAATAGATAATTGGATAGAAAAGCTGTGGTACATATACACAATGGAGTACTATATGTAGCCGTAAGGAAGAAATATCTCTTACCCTTTGAGACGGCACAGAGGGACCTGGAGAGTATTGTGCTGAGTGAAATAAGACAGAGAAAGACAAGTACCACCTGATCTCACTTATGAAATATCATGAACAAAGTAAGCTGATGAACAAAATAGATCCAGAAACATGAAGTAGGGAATAGACTGACAATCCTCAGAAGGAAGGAGAGTGTGGGTGGGAGGAGAGATAAACCAGAGAACTGATACACATATGCACCCAGCCAATGGACACAGACAGCAGTGTGGTGAAGGTGGGGGTGGGTGGGGTGGGAGTAGGGCGGAGGGTGTCAATGGGGGGAAAAAGGTGACGTGGAACATTTGTAATAACTTTAACAATAAAGGTAAATTTAAAAAATAACAGAACTGCCATGTCCCCAGGGATTGTGGCAATGGCTTACTACAGCTTAGAGGGCTCCAGGAGGAGGAAGGAGCTATTCCTAAAGCAGTCCTGCTGGTGGGACCTCATCTCTGCACACCGTACATCATGGGGTTCTTCTGTGGATAGTTCTAAAAACAGATAGGGGTCTTGTCTTAAAATGATCTGTAGAAAGAGATGGAGCAGAACCTGATTCTAGACCTGCTCTGGGACAGATGATGGTCAACTAGAACCCATGAGTCAAATCTGACCTACCATCTATTTTGTCAGTAAAGTTTTATTGAATCACAGAAACAATAACAAACACTTTAGAGCAGAAATCAGTGAAAATAGAAAAAGATCAGCAAAACCGAAGTTGGTTCTTTGTAAAGCTTTATAGTATTGACAAACGTCTAGGCAACCAAGAATAAAAGAGAAGATAAAAATGACCAATATCAGAAATACAAGAAAGTGCATCACTACAGATCCTATGGACACTGAAAGGAGAATCAAGGAATATTATCAACAGCTCGTTGCCCACAAATTTGATAGCCTAGATAAAATGGATTAATTCCTCGAAATACACAAAATATCAGAATTCACACAAGGAGAAATAATCTGAATGGTATGTTAAAGAAAATAAATCATTAATAACCTTCCAAAATAGGAAACACCAGGCATAGATGGTTTCACTGGTGAATTCCACCAAACATCGAAGGAAGAAATACCAGTTTTCTACAGTGCTTTTCAGAAAACAGAAGCAGAAGGATCACTTTCTAAAATGCATTCTACGAAACCAAAGGAATAGCAAGAAAGGAAAACTGCAGACTTTTATTTCTGATGAACATAGATTCGCAGCAAAGTGTTAGGAGATCAAATCCAACAATGTGTAACAAGAATTATGTGTCACGACCAGACAGGTTTCTTTCCCCAGATGTGCCAGGCTTGTCCAGCACTCGGAAATCAAGTAATGCAATCCACCACATCAACAGGCTCTGCAGGAAAAGTCACAGTTACATCAACAGATGAGTAAAAAGCATTTGACAGAAATCCAACACCCGTTCGTGATTAAGAACTCTCAGCAAACTGATTAGAGGGGAATTCCCTCAACTTAATAAAAACACCTTACAAACACCTACAGCTAATATCATGCTTGATCAGGAACAGCAAGGCTGCCCCTTCTCTCCACTCCCTTTAGCATCTCCTAGAAGTTCTAGCTAATAGAGTTAGACAAAGAGAAATAAAAGGTATATAGATATGGAAGGGAGAAATAAAACTTCATAGACGACATGGTTGTCTATGTAGAAAATCCCAGCGAATCAACCGGAAAAACACACTAGCTCATAAGCAATTACAGCAAGAGTGCACAGCCAAGGTTAACATGTACAAAAGTCAGGTGCTTTCTTATATACTAGCCATGAAGAATTGGAATTGTAAATTAAAAGCACAATATCATTTACATCAGCACTATACACACACACACACATATACACATTATATAAAAAAAATATATATGCACTTATACACACATACACATAATACTTAAGTATACATCTAACAAAATATTTGCAAGATCCATAGGAAGAAAACTACAAAACTGGAGACAGAAATCCAGATCTAAGTCAGTAGAGATGCCCATGTTTGTGGATGGCGGATTTAATATCGTTAAGATTTCACTTCTTCACCACGTGCCCTACAGCTTCAATGCAATCCCAACACAAACCCCAGCAAGCCACCGTTTATATTGGCAAACCATTTCTGAAGGTCATATGGAAAGTCCAAAGACCAGGTTCACCAACACAAGATTGAAGAAGAACTAAGTTTAAAGACTGACACTACCCAGGTTCAAGGTTAACTACAAAGCTGCACTGATCAAGACGTGATCTTGGCCAGAGAATAGACAGATCAGTGGAATGGAGCAGGAAACCCAGAAGGAGACTCATTCAGGTACAATAGACTGATCTTTGACAAGTGAACAGAGATAGTCTTGAAAACAGCCCTAAGGCATATGGATACACAACTACAAAAAAAAAAAAATCTAGATACTGACCTTACACTCTTTATAAAAATTAACTTGACATGGCTCATAGACCTAAATGTAAAATGAAAAACTATAAAACTTCTTGAAGATAACAGAAAATCTTGGTGACCTTGGACCTGGCAATGACTTTTTAGATATACCAACATAAGTATACTATATGAGGGAAAAAATCATGTTAACTTTATTAAAATGAATGTCTACTGGAGAGAATAAAAAGAGAAGCCACATTCTGGGGGGAAAATCTTTGCAAAACACCTGATGAAGGACTTATATCTAATACTTAGCATCAAGAACATAACCAACCCATTGAAAGGTGGGTAAGAGGTGTGGCACAGACCTCACCAGCATAGGTGCCCAGATGGCAGTAAGCAGGTGTGACGTCCTCACCATCATGCCATCGAGAAATGTCAATAACAATAAGCTACAATGTGGCTATTTCTTGCAACGCTAAGCATAGGCTCAGCCCCCTGGTCCAGCCGTCTTTGCCCGTATGAGCTGAAGCCTGCACACCAGTGTCTGTGGCAGCTCTGTTTATCATTGCCAGACTCAGAAGCACCCAGATGTCTTTCGGTAGGTGATGGGCAAGGTGTGGTGCATCAAGACGGAGCCTCCTTCCACAGTTAGAGGAACTGAGTGATCCTGCCGCAGAGGGGCATGAGGGCCTGTAAATGTGGTGCTGAGTGAAGGTTTTCAGTCTAGGAAGGCAGCACCCTGCACGATTCCAGCTACACGACATTCTGGAAGAGGCAGGGGTGGGGCAGGGATGAGGCAGTGGGGGTAAGGGGTGTTCAAAGTGGGGACTGTGGGGACTGTTCTTAGAACACGGTAAGGGGGATGCCTGGCACACTCTGGACTCGAGTCACTAACAGCCCTAGCTCCGCAGTCCTAGCAGATGGACCACAACCGTGCAGGGTGCCCCTGTTGGGAAATGCTGGGGTCTGGGGAGTCTGTGGGAACCCCAAACTTCTGGTCAGTGTTTTCATGAACCTAAAGTTGTCTAAAAAGTGAAGCCTGTTCATGTTTAAAATATATTTGAAATGGAGGAAAACCATATCTGGAGTTAAAGTAATAAATTTGGTCACATGAATAGAATTGTTCAAATGACTGCTACACTTCAAAATTTTAGATTGCATTCTAATTAGTGTTCTTAGATAAAGCTTGTTAAACTTGCAGTGGCTGTTACATTCTGGTACATATCCTGTCTCCTTTCTCTTAGACCATTCCAACGAAGGACAGACTGGAAGGGCTCCTGGCGTTTAAGGAGAAAAGATCCCCCCGCTACAGGGGGGAGTAAGCGAGCGCGACCGCAAAGTGCCGGGGTGACCGCGTGGGGCGTCTCTCAGGCCAGGTGGCTCAGCGCCTGGAATGCCAGGGACCAAAGCCGAGAGCGCCAGCCTTCAGCGCCGGGGCACCTGCTGTCGGCCCCCATGCTTTGTTCTCCTGTGCGCAGGCCACACGCGTCCAGATCCGTGAGCTTGCAGTGCACTCGCTCGGAGCTGGTCTGAAGCTAGGCAGACATCCAGATGCTCCCTGCACACGGAGCTTTGTGTTCCCGGTGTTTGGTGTGAATGATGTATATATTGCACACTCTAGGAAGTGATGATTGTATGTCTGCTGTGCTGCAATATGAGAATAAACATTTCTATATACCAAAAAACGTGATGTTTACCAACCAGTCTCTAAGAGTTATACACACAGGCACACACACACGTCTCACACCGAGAAGGAGATTGATAGATCCCTAAGTGAAACTGACCAATTCTAAATAAAATCAGTGAAAAGGAGACTTGGGGATTTTTCTCTTACCCTGCTCTTTTTTAATCGAATAAAGCATCACATGTTGGATTTTAGGAGAAACCACCTTTCCCTGTGGACTCTGGTTATCAGGCGACCTCACACAGTCAATCAAGAGGACAGTGTGGTTGGTGGAGAATTAGTCCCGTCAGATGGGCCACAGACCTGGGGAGGCCAGCTGCAGGCCAGGCGCCGGGCACCGCTCAGAGTCCCAGCACGTGGCCTGATGGCCTAACCCAGGAAGGAAATCACAGCCAGCTCGGGGAGTTAAGGGTGCGACGGAACCTGCCCTCGCCCCTCCCCCACCCCAGTACTGACACCTGACTTCAGTCAGGAAAGGAGATGACTTCCACCCCCTCTCTCGTCTAACAGACAAGCCTTCCTGCCCCCAGCCGGCAAAGCAACCAGAACGGAGGAGCACAGGCTGCCAGAGCCAGGACACCTTGTCGGGCGGGCGCTGTGCTGTGTGTGGGGACGAGACTGCGGAGCTAGTGAGTGGGAGGCCGTCGCTGTCCTACAAACAGCTGCCCCTGTTTTGTATTTGGTGTATCAAACCAGGCTGCCCTGACTGCCCTGGTCTGGGGCCCGGGCTCCTTGGAGGCACTGCGGCTTTGCCTCTGCAGGGGAGGCCGCCGGCTGCTGCTCTGGCCGTCCCGCTCAGCACCACGGCCTCCTGCCCTGGAAAGCACGTGTGCTTCGGGCTCTAACAACCACTGGAGCTCCCTTTTTAACACGGGAAATCGAACTCTCAAAACATTGAAAGAGACGGACAAGGACTTGCCATCAGCTGATCCCCGGCCGGCCGGCCTCACCACGACTCACCTTCCTGCTGACGCCACGCAGATTGGTGACCATCATGTCCTATGGAAGGGTTACTAAATTCACAGTTGGCCCCGGTGATGCTACCTGGTGGCCCATACACTCGGTGTGCTGATAAACCCATACCCTTCATTTTATGCAGATACTTTGCGAATAAAGTGCTTGTCCTTGTCAGAGTCCTTGAGGGTATCAGGCCATTTTGTTCAAACTGACATGTTCAAATGCACTTGCATTTTAACTGGAGGAAATGACGGGAAAAACAGCGTGTGCTGAGTGGCTCGTCTGCTGATTTGGAGCCAGTCTGATGCCGATGTAAGCTGCTGATGTTTGAGTGAAGTCCCTGGAATGTGTCCAAGAGCAGAGCCATTGTCCTGTGGTGACTTCACCATCAGACGCGAAGCACAGCCGAGCGGAGTGTGAGAGACGCTCCCTCCACTTGGGTTTCTCTTCCGCAGCAAGGTGTTGCTGGTTGGTCCAGCGGCTGGGCACTGCAGGGGTTGCCCAGCTCCTTGCGGAGAGGGCAGGGCAGGGCACTGGTAACTGGGCAGCAGCTCCTTTTGTTTTCCTCCTGCACACAGGGCTTGCTCATCCTGACTCCGATACCACACAACTGCGTCAAGCTGTCGCGGCTGGGAATACGGTGGACGCACCGTATGTTGCAGTGAAGTTCAGGAGAACTCGGGGGTGAGCGCAGCTGCGATTCAGGGATTGCAGTTATCTCAGCCTGAGACCTGTGGTCCCCGAGTAACTTAGTGCTGTTCACCTATAACATCTCTGCAAGAAAAGTAACCTACGGAACTTCTGAGACAAGACAACAGTCGTACTGATGTGGAAATAAGACAGATTTCCTGTCACTCATTTGTGTGACTTAAAGGGTCATTTCAAGTTTAGTTGTTTTTAGTAAGAAATGACCTGGTTTTCCTGTCAATCTAGTCCTTTTTACCCCTCTTCTAGCTGTCCAAAAATTGGCTTGTTACAAAGTATTACTTTCTGACACTGTTACTTTTCAGTGCTTCAGAGAGCAGAGGGTGGCAGTCGTGGCGCCTTACTGACAGAAACGCTTGTTTTCATGCAGACGCAGAGCTGCTGGCCATTGACGCTTCCTGGCTGGACCTTACCTCCGTCTGCTGGTGACGGGCCCTGAGTGGGGCCTGCAATTCCTGGCAGGCCGACACTTTTAATATTTAACCATGCCTTTTTTGTTTGTTTACCCACCTAAACAGTAACATGTGTATGTCAGCATTTATCAAAACAGCAACAAATTATTTTCTTATACTAAATAATAATTGTATAGCTGAAACGCTACAGATTGTGCCTGGGGGTTAGGGGGACCATCCCTGTGCTCAAAATATCTGCGGTTCTCAGACCCTAAAAAACCCCACTGTTTCAAATGCCTTCCTTTGGATTTTCATAGTCCTACCTTCGGGGACCTCTCAAAATGCAGCATAGCTCCTAGCCCTGGAAGAGCATGCCGTGCAGTGTTTGCTCTTCAGGCTCGTGCTCAGGGTGCTGAGAGGTGGTGCCTGGCAGGGGAGTAGAGGGCACCAGGAAGGACCGAGACGGGCACCTCTGGTGTGGTCAGGGCCAGCCCTGTGACACACGCCCACGCAGAGCCAGCTTGGAGGAGGCAGGTGGGACGCTGGCCTGTCTTCATTGAGCTTACCGTTCTCTGGGGGCAGCAAAGTGGGCTTGGCCCCAGCCTGTCAGTCATGTTGTAAAGCACAGAAAACAGCATTTTGCATAGGTTGTGATGCGAGGAATCACTTTGACAAGCTCACTGAAGATGCTAATGTGAGAGATCAGAGTTAGGGGTGGGCCTTGTTCCAGTGATGGTGACGGCCATATATGAACTCTGAGTACCTGCAGGTGCTCTCTTGTGCCATGTCGACTGGTCACAGCATCCGGGAAGGAGAGGCACGGATTATTCTCGGGCGGCAGGAGGCTGGAGCATGGCTTGGTGGAGCTGGGTGTTGGAGTCAGCAGGTGGACCTGGGGCCTAAGGCCTGCCATTGCTCTTCACTCTGAAAACAGCCCAGCAGCACCGCCACAGCCTGCTGACCTGGGAGTGTGCCAGCCTGTGCCCTGATGGCTTCAACAGTTTTTTTGTGACCTGGAGAGATACTGCACGTGCGCCTATCCAATGACCTGATGACAGTGGCAGGCAGTGTGATGGTTCCTCTGACGCCCACTCAGCACCCCCTCTAGCTGGGCATTTCACCTGTATGTTCTCGTCCAGCGCTCAGAAACCTTTAGGAAATCTATGTTCATTGATCGTTTAAGAAACTGAGACAAGGGCACATCCAAGATGGCGGTAGATTAGGTGGAAGTTACACTCACCTTCTCCCAGGACCAAACTGGAAATGAACTGAAATATAGAAAAATCACCGAGTCACTAACTGAAGATTAGCCTTATAAGCAAGGACGTAAAGAGGAGGCCACATCGAGACTGGGAGGACATTCTGGAGGGATATCTCAGCTACAGGGGTGTTCTCAGACCCCTGAGAAATGTGGGGTCTAACCCCAAGCCAGGCCCCCCAGGCCAGAGCACCAGGACCAGGAAAGGTGCCCATGTAATGTCTGGCTGTGAAAAGCAGCAGGGTTTCTGTCTGCCAGGCAGAGACAGCTAAAAATGCAGGCACCTCTCAAAGGGCAAAAGCACAAAATTTTGTTCGCTGCCACTCACCCTGGACTCTGCTAGGGGGAGGGCATAGGAGACTAGAGCTACATGAGAAGGGGTTGGTGGCTCTGGGGAGAGAGCGGAGAGGACAGCCACCAGGATCTCTGTGCTGAGTCATGCCCTGGACTGCAGAAGCCATCTTTCTCAGTCAGAGCTTTCCCATCTAGGCAGCATCAGCCTGGGGGAACAGTGGCCCTACCCATTGGAATCCCTCTCACCCCACCATGTGGAGCATATGCCCTGCTGAGGAGCACAGCCAAAAGCTCTTTAAGTGACTGAGCCTAACAGCCTGCAGGCAGAGTCAGATCTCTGGGTCCTTTGAGACTTCTGCTGACCCGCCCCTGGACCCGGTGCTAGTAAAGCAGACCTTGGTGCACAGCTTGGTCCTTTCCACCTGCACCCAGACCCAGCAGAGGAAGCCACAAGCTGTGGATTGCTGATAGCTTTAAATAGGTTGCACAGGGCCAGTCACAGACAGTGTCTGACATTGGCCTGCACCAAAGTCCCCTCAAAGAGGCCCAGAACCAATACATGCAGTGGCCAGCTTCAATGAGCAGAATCCAATAAGTTTCACAAGCAACATACACACAGGGAGATGTTGGCAGGCACCAAACCCAGCTGAGGCTAATTCTACTTTATGTGATCAGCACATGCACAGCAGCCTGCATAATGTGCTGGCGATTGAGCCTCGCTGTCAGCCAGCCTGAGAGCTGATCCCATGCGCAAATGGGCCGATAGCAATTGAGACTCAATTATGACAGGAGGGACCACATAACATGCACAAGGGACATTCTTAGGGCACCCAGTGCAGGTAATCTAGGAGATTGCACCACTGGGTTACACAGATCACCTACTACATAAGCCACCATACCAAGACTAGTAGTTGTAGCAAATCTACTTAATACATAGAAACACAAAGAGGCAGCCACAATGGGAAGACAAAGAAACAGGCCTCAAATGAAAGAATAAGAGAATTCTCCAGAAGAGCTAAATAAAAAAGAGGTAAACAATTGATCAGATTTAGAGTAATAATTATAAGGATGCTCAACAGCATAAAAAAGGACATAAAAGTACCAGTCAGAAATGAAGACTGACATATCTGAAATAAAGAATACATTGGAAGGAATAAACAGTAGGCTTGACAATGCAGAGGGTTTAATGAGCAATTTGGAAGACCAGGAAGAAAAAAACACCCAATCAGAGCAGCAAAAAAGAGAAAAGGATTAAAAAAGGGGAGGTGGTTTAAAGGACCTTTGGGACAACATGGGGCATAATAATATCTGTGTCATAGGTGTACCTATGGAGAAGAGAGAGAGTGAGGGATTGAGAACATATTTGAAGAAATAATGACTGAAAACTTCCCTAACTTGGTGAAGGAAAAAGACATGCAAGTCCAGGAAGCATAGAGTTCCAAACAAGATGGACCCAAAGAGGCCCACACCAAGACACAAAAAAATTAAAATGGCAAAAATTAAAGACAGAGAATCTACAAAGCCACGAGAGAAAGGTATTACCTAAAAGGGAGTTCCCATAAGACTGTCAGCTGATTTCTCAACAGAAACATTTCAGGCCAGAAGGGAGTGGCAAGAAATACTCAGTGATGAAAAGCAAGGACCTACAACCAAGACTACTTTACTCAAAAAAGCT